AGCAGTCAAGCACTAGCCAGACAAGAATGGATAAACAGTCATTTGCAGCAAAGCTGACATGTATCTAGGGAGAATTTGAGCTTCTTAAACAATTTTATTTAGTCACACTCAGAAAGAAAGTGATGGTAAGAAGGATTAATAGTCTGCTAAGCCATTGTAGACGTTGATATCAGAGGAACTTTCATGTTTTTTTACATGTCACTGATATTTTAAAAGCCACAGGAGAGCTGAGATTTAACTTTGTCGTATTAAAGCATTAAGCCTGGTTTCAATTCTAGTGCACTGAGGAGGACAGGTGGAGGATGACAAGTCTCCAAGTTGACTGACTGACTAAAGCGTCTGGCCTTTTGGCTCTTGGTGGAGCTGAAAGTATCTTTATGTCTGTACTTTTTGGTGAAACAGATTTTGACAGCCTATTATTTACCACTCGAGGGAAGTGAGGAAGATATTGTGGCACAACACAGACACATGATTCATATGGAAGCAGTCATCACAGCTGTCTCTTCGCACAGAAACACATGGAGTGACAAGACTGCAGGACAAATCAGATCTTTTTCTGCTCTCCTCATACCTCGGTAATATGAGGTGAAGATGCAGGAGAAGACATCTGATATTTGTCTCCTTCTCACTATTGATTTTGTCTGTTTTTCAGTCTATTCAAAATGCCAACTGGTGATTTCTCTCATCTGCTGTTTACTTGTAAGGGTTTGAGATAAGAAAAAAAATGCTGCTCGTTCCTCGTACCCTGTCTCATGTTCCTCAGTTTGACATATCTACTGCAGCCTATCCATCCCCCTCATGTTACATCTTTGGCATTACTGGAGATATGTAATTGTAGGACAGATGGCAGATTATACAAACCCTCATTACAGTAGTTGATGTGGCTGGGATCTAGATCATATAAACCCTGTCTCCCATTTTTTTGTTGCTCTCACTGTGTGAAATGAGTTCTCATTATCTGTGTCCATATAGTGCTTCTTCCCCTCACTGTACCTTCGTTCTTATCCCACTTTCTTTTCTTTCCTAAATTACTAATAGAAAGAGGAAGGTGAGACTAAATGTTCATAGAATTATCGTGCATGTTCAATTATTCCCTATTTATTCAACACTTACATATAGTACAGTGTTATAATGTATCAACACTGAGTTGTAATGCCTTCTGTCCTGCATGTCCCATGCGAGCAAGCAAAGCGGCATTGTATATACCCCAATCTGCCCTTGATAGGAACATCATGTCTCACTTTTCTTACCCAATAGGGATTAATAGTGTCAGTTGGTGTGAAAGCTCGTCAGTGGGTACACTGAGCAGCCATTTGTCAGTGCTTTGCTGCCAGTGGGAAGCGCAGAAGGCTGCACCAGATTTTGAGAAAGGGAGAGCCTCGCTGAGAAGAGAGATGGAAAAAAGAGAAAGTTTTATTTGTTTGCTGGGTTGATGGTTCAGCCAGATGGATGAGAGAGAGGAGATATGGTGAAAGACACGCTCGCAGAATGTATGTGGCTTTCTGGGGGAAATGTGTGGTGTGATAAGAGTAGTGTACTATACAGTATTTGATGCTTTAGATTAAATGCCCTTCTTAATCGGGTAGCTTTTCTTGTACTTGTGGGCGAC